AAAAAAAAAAAAAAAAAAAAAAAAAAAAAAAAAAAAAAAAAAAAAAAAAAAAAGAATTAATGCAAATAAGGCTTTGGGAAGCAAGAGACTCTGTGAGGAGATAACTGCTACAGTGCCTGGCATATGAAGACGTGCTGAAACTAATCTTTTTAAAAAAACAAATGAACCTATGAAAATGTAATTGCTTTATAGTCTGCTGTTGGAAACATACTAAAAAATTCAATTTTGGAATGACCACTGGAAGCTCTTACAAAGTCACAGAATTCCACTGATTTCTCAACTGGGATTACAGGCGCCTGCCTCCATTTCTCAACTCACTTGAGTGCCAGAACTGCTGTCCACATCTCATCTTGAGCTGCTTGGCTTGCCAGAGTCTTCCTATGATGTTCAAATTTCTGCATCAGGTTATCCTTGGTGAAGTCTAGTTCTCTGAACTGTGCTTCTAACGCTTGGAGTTTGTGGTCTACTCTGTAAGATAACAGAATCAAAAGTTTAGGTTACAGGACAAAACTAAGATTTTGCTTTAAGCTAAGGCTCTAACATGTTATTTACAACCACTACCAAATTTGGATACCTTTTTTTCAACTTTTACTTTAAACTATGAAGGGAAAATGGGTAGCTATTTGAATTCGAAAGTTTCAACAAATGGTCCGATTTGCTGTTCACTCTAGCCATCATCCTTGTCCTTTCATTCCATATATTACAAACTTTTGAATTGTCTAATTACTTGAATTGCCTGCTATGTCTTGTATTATACCTTATACTTTATGTATGTATGTATGTATGTATTTCCTAATACAGAGTCTCACTCTGTCACCCAAACTGGAGTGCAGTGGCAAAATCACTACCTTCCAGGCTCAAGTGATCCTCCCACCTCAGCCTCCTGAGTAGCTAGGGCTACAGTTATGTGCCACCACACCTGGCTAATTTTAAAAAAATATTTTTTAGAGATTGGATATTACTATGTTTGGCTGGTCTCAAACACCTGGGCTCCAGCGATCCACCTGACTTGACCTCCCCAAAGTACTGGGATTACAGGCATGAGGCACCATCCCTGGGCTATTCTTTATACTTTTAAGAATATTTTATGTAAGCATTTCACAACAATCATAATAAGTAAAGCAGTCCTTTTTACTATTTTACTATTAAAGAAATTGAGTCTCAAGAAGACTGAGACCTAATGTCATAAAGTTAGCTAGTGCTGAGACCAGTATATAATAAGGTGACTTTTTCTACCCTATTCTAATTGTCCAACTCGTATCCTTTCTTCCAGGATCAGCTCAAATCCACTGCCTTTTTGAATCCCCATTTACCTTGAGATCTCCTTGCCTTCCTACTTCTCACTCACAAGGACTGCCTCTGTGAACCCATCTCCCCACCTCCTGCTTTACTATTAGGGTTAGCCTTTCATGAACTAAACTGTAAGTTATTGGAGGGAAGGAATCAGAGACTATTTATTTATTTATTTTTTTAATTTTTTCTGAGATGGAGTCTCGCTCTTGTTACCCAGGCTGCAGTGCAGTGACACAATCTCAGCTCACTGCAACCTCCACCTCCCAGGTTCAGGTGATTCTCCTGCCTCAGCCTCCCAAGTAGCTGGGATTACAGGCACGCGCCTCCACGTTCAGCTAATTTTTGTATTTTTGGTAGAGACCTGGTTTCACCATGTTGATCAGGCTGGTCTTGAACTCCCAACCTCAGGCGATCTGCCTGCCTTGGCCTCCCAAAGTGCTGGGGTTACAGGCATGAGCTGCCATGCCCAGTAGAGACTATTTCTTAGATACCTTTATGCCTGTCCCCCAATACCCAACAAAGGTCTTACACTGTAATAAAAGATTTCTTGTATGATTGACATCTTTGATGTGAATGAGATGCTGAATTCTGTAACCCAAAATGGGGATTCGAGTAGCTCTGAACAGCCGTGATCATCAGAGGGTGCTGTGGCACCAGAATTATGTCTAATTAACCACAAAGACTGGAGCAACACAGCTCACTTGCCTAAGCCACCTAGGTTGTCTTTATGAGGGCAGTGATGCGTAAACACACGTTAGTTCTCTGACTTTCCATGTCCCCAGTGACCTGAATACCTTTGCGGTTGCCCGGCATTCTATTCTTGATCATCTTTTATTCTTGGTCCTGAATTTCTCCCAAGGCTAATTCACCTTCAGGTATTAGGTTTCTTCTAAGCTTTAGACCTGTATTTTCTTTTTTCTTTTCTCTTCCTTTATTTTCTTTTAAGACAGAGTTTCACTGTATCTCTCAGGCTGGAGTGCAGTGGTACGATCTCAGTTCACTGCAACCTCCAACTCCTGGGTTCAAGAAATTCTCTTGCCTCAGTCTCCTGAGTACCTGGGATTACAGGTGCCAACCACCACACATGGCTGATTTTTGTATTTTTTTTTTTTTTTTTTGAGACGGAGTTTCACTCATGTTACCCAGGCTGGAGTGCAATGACGCCATCTCGGCTCACCGCAACCTCTGCCTCCTGGGTTCAGGCAATTCTCCTGCCTCAGCCTCCTGAGTAGCTGGGATTACAGGCACGCACCACCA